CGAGCTGGAGCAGCCCGGCTGAGCCCGGCCCGCTGTCGGGACATCAGGGAGGTGATGCCCACGTGGGGCCTGCAGCAGCCCCACCGCAGTGGCGGGGACAAGGGCAGTGGAAGCCCTGCAGAGATCAGGGTAGAAGCGGGTTCCCCAGGGGCCCTTCTGGCAGCCCGGGACCTGGCCCACACAGTGCTGTGTCCCCCCCAGCCGCCTAGCCATCTCGACTCGGTGCTGGAGCCCGGAAGCCAGTGTGACTGCGTTTGCAGATGGGGACTGTAACATGGGGTCCTTGGGCCGGGCCACAGGGTGTGCGTGTGTCCCTGTGAGAAGGGGGTGAGGACAGTCACGGGCAGAGGGGCGGTGGCCCCAGACTTGCAGACTCCAGCACACTGAGTGTCTGTGGAGGACACCGGTCTGAGACACCCTCTTCCTGCAGCCCTGCTGATGGCCAGGCACGAAGTTTCAGGGCACCTATGTGGGGTTCTTGTGCTTTGTAAGAAGCCACTTAGTACTGTTTCAAGGCGGGCTGTGACAAAGATGTGTACTATAACCACCCAAAAAAGTGACAAGGACCAGTAAAAAAATAGGTCAATAATGAAAGTAAGATATTCAACAGAAAAATACATTTTTGCAGATCTTATTCTTCTGGGCTTTGCATAAAATATGTAAATAGATTCAAAGTTTTAAAAAATCACTGTAAAATAGATGAGAAGAAAGCTGCTCATGAGCTGTGATGTGGAGGCAGAAATACAAAATGGAGGCAAAAAATACAAAATGGAGGCAGCTGTCTCCACCTGAGGCGAGGAGGAGAGGGAAGGTCAAGGGCTCAGGGTGGGACAGGGCCTGCCTATTCCATACCCACCAGGACACCCTGGGGTGGGGAGTCCATGGCGGGTAGGTAAGGAAACACTAGGATCCCTAGGCAGCTGGGTGGGGGTGGAGGAAAGTTCTGGTCTCTGCTCCCACAGCCACTCCAGGGGTCACAGTGTGGTAGAAACCGTGGCAGGACATGGCCAGGGAGTGAGGGCTCAAGACCGTGCCTGGTTCTTGGGCAGGAATTGTGTGGCTGGAGATGACCAGCAGTGGGGCCCATGTCACCAGGAGGGGAGGCCCAGTCCCCAAGGGCAGGGGCCACTGCAAACCCCAACCACACTTGGGGAGCCATGGGAAAGCGGCCACCCAGTCTGTCCCCAGGTCCTGCCTGAGCCCCGCTGGCCCACAGTGGGAGGAGGGAGAATGAGTAGGAGACACCAGGGAGGCGGGGGTGATGCAGATGAGACAGAAGTGCTGCAAGCTTGTGTTCATAGCGAGTTCAAGTCCAGCCTGAACTGTGTAGGGAGACCTTGCCTCAACTCCCCACCCCCGCAAAAAATTAAGAGAGACCCTGCAGGGTGGCACATGCCTGTCATCCCAGCACTCGGGAGGCTAAAGCAGATCACTGTGATTTCACAGTCAGCCTGGGCCACACAGTGAGACCTTGTCTCAAACCCACCCATCAAACAAATATGCTAAGAGAGGGAATCCAGACACGGAGGGAGGGGACGTGGGAAGGATGAAGACGCGCTCTGCACACACACCAGCTCTCCCCGGGAGTATGACCATAGGCACTGAAATCGTGAACTGCCGGTCACGGGGCAGGGGACCCATAGAGATGGTGCCTACCTGGCCGCTGACAATCTCTAGGCCGAGGGCGTCTACCTTGGCGCTGCTGATCCCCAGGAGAACACCGTTCTCAGAGGAGGTGCGAAACTCGAAGGAGATGTTTAAGTCTGACCGCACCCTGTAGCCTTCTCTGACTGTGAAGCACAAAGGCAGGGTTGGGCTGAGCCTTGCAGGCTGGGGCTCAGCTTGGGGGGGGGTGCATGCTGGGACTGACCCCTGGCCACACTCAGGACCTGCTGCAGCCCTGCCCCTGAACGCTATGCCCCAAGGGTTTTCAGAGCAGGGACCATGGGGAACAATGGTTTCACTCAGGAGGTGGAGAAGCCAGCCGAGACACCACACTGGGGGACTTGGCATGCAGGCATTGGCCGAGTGCCAGCGGGGACAGGGTGGTATCTTGGAGCCTGGCCGCTGGGCCCTAGAGAGGACTGGAGCCTGATGAGCCTAGGGTGACAGGAAGCACGGGGTAAAGGGGACAAATTCCACAGGGTCTCTGACCACAGCCCCTCTGCTGCCAGCTGCCCTGGAGCGTTCATGCTGCTGTCTTTAATTAATGCAGAGACCCTGATGTTATGGTTGAGAGCCAGCTGTCCAGCTGGGCCCATCTTCCTGTCCACCTCCCAGGTCCAGTCCCTCTCAGAGCCACTATGAGCCACAAGACGTCTTGGCACCTGGTAATACACACCCAGAGCTGCGTAGCCGCTGCCTTCGAAGAACGTCCCTTCCTCGGCCGCCGTGTAGCACCTGTCCACTGCCAAGGCAGACGCTGGGCTGTCCGTGTCCAGGGGCTTGCTGTTCACCGTCACCTCCCCGATGCAGGCAGCAATGCTGTGTGTGACCTGGGCCAAGTGGACAGGGGCCGCTGTGACACAGCCAGAGCTCTCGTCCCTACCCTTCATCAAATCTGTGCTAGCACCATGCCTCACAGCGCGACTCTGGGCTTTTAAAATGTGATGATCACAGTGCCTCCCTGAGTGTCCAGCTTAGAAGTGTCACTGAAAGTCCCCGTGATGATACCGCTTCCAGCTATTTTAGTGAAGTGTCAGGCACAATGAGGATTCTGCACTCTAATGTGCCATGGGGTCCATGCTCATGCAGGAAGTGTTGATTCACTGGCCGGTAGGACGGCTGGCCAGGCTCTCAGGGCCTCTGCTTCCTGCAGGCGAGGGCCAGGTGCCTCACAGGGGAGGAGCTATCGTGACCAGGGCCCCGGGGGCCACGCAGAGACCCTGCTTACATTCCCGATGTTCCGGGCCCTGTAGTTGGGGGGAAGGCCCCCGAGGTACAGCTTCCCCTCCACGTCCAGTGAGGTTCCGTCGCCCACCGTGGTCACCATGGGGGATTCGTGGCCATCAACGGTCACAGAGCCTTTTCTTTTAAAGTACTCTGCCTTCACCTGCGAGAGAAGAAGACATGGCATGTAGTGTTTCCATGTGTGTGGCTCTGGGGGTCAAACCTAGGGCCTTTGCCCTGAGCCCAACTCCTGGGTCCTTTTTATGTTTTGAAATAGGCCAAGTCACCAAGCTGCTCAGGCTGGGCTTGAACTTGTAACTATCCTGCCTCAGCCTCCCAGAGTGCTGGCACGACAGGCACTGCTGGCCAAAACATACTCATAGCTTTTAAGCCGGACAAGAAAGCCTCAGAGAGGGATGTTCTCAGCATGTGTCTGCATAGCTATGACTCTGGAGAGAAGCTTTGCAGGACTCACTGCTCTGGGAACAGGTGTGGAGGCTGGCTCGAGGGGGAATCAAAGGCAGATCAGAGTTCCAGGATACACATATCCAAAACTGCTAAGGCCTCGCACCCACAGGTGGGTGCCATTCACATCTGCTCAAGGTGAGGCCATTTCTGTACCTGCCTGCACCCAGCCAGGCGCTGAGGCATTTCAGGAAGCAGAGAACGCCAAGGACCTGGCAACCCCGGGAAAGGTCACACAGAGCAGCAGAGATGCCAGGCGGGGCTCCCCACGCTCAGAGCAAAGTGGAACACAGTGGTCCTAGCCGCCTGGGACGCACCGTGTGCCACTTGCCATCGTTGATCAGCGTGGGGTGAGAGATGTGGGTCCGGCCCTTGCCCAGGTCGAAGAAGAAGGCAAGGCGGCCACCGTAGAGCTGCAGTGTGGCGTGGTCCACTTGGTTCTGGTGGGCCGTGTAGAAGACCAGGCCGCTGGAGGTGAACGTCCGGATGCTGAGCTGGACCAGGAGCCTGTAGAAGAAGGCAGCTCGGCACCACAGGGGAACAGGCTGTACTTGTGGGGCTTAAAATAACCACCAGGATCCGGGTGCACACGGTGGCACATGCCTGTAATCCCAGCACACCAGAAGGCTGAGGCAGGAGGATTGCAAGTTCAAACCCAGCCTGGGCAACTCTCTCAAAATAATGAATTAAGAGGGTAGCTGCTGTGTCATTGTTGCTGGGGTCTGTTCAGGATACAGTGAGCCAGGAGGAGGGTCTCTTCTGTTGCAAAAGGAGGGACCAGGAAGACATCACACCCAGTGGGATCCCGAGAGGTAGGGGCAGGCGATTGGGAAGGTAGCATTTCTGCTGGCTCTGAGTGGCCCAAAGGAGTCAGGCCCAGGACAGCCCAGCAGGGAAAACCTTCCTTTGGTTCAGAACAGGATGGAGGAGCTCGAAATAAGGGCCTGGTTGAAGGTGGCCACGGGCAGGATCTGGGACATGGCTGAGTGCTGGAAGGTCACGTCTGACCACTGCTCTGAGGCACTAGGGTCCCCCTCCCCGGGGCCCTGGCCATGGCACACACTCAGGGACTTGCAGGCAGCGCCTACCTCTTCCTGACCTCTGTGTGGTTGAAAGGCAGCACCAAGTGGCTGTTCTGCAAGAGGCCGAACTGGTGTGCGCCGGAAACAAACTGCGGAGCTGTGTCTACCGCACACCGGCCCTGCAAGAGACCACGCAGGGCCCTCAGCCACCACCTGTGTCCCGGGGGCACAGGGACCCAGCGGTGACAGCTGCTGGCACCCCGGCTCGAGGATGTGCTTGCTGAAGCAAGAAAGCAGTCCTGGACCTGAGAGCAGCCCAGCCTGGAGGAAGCGCCTGTGCACGAGGGGCCTTCTGCCGTTATTACAGTGCCCACTTCTGGCCAGGACTGCGCAGCACCAGGAGGGAGGACATGAAAAAGCAGGGCCTGGCCTCCCTGAACAGGCAAACCTTTTCTTTTAAGAAAGAAGAGAACCTTTCCTCGGGTTATCATTTCTCTTAAATGTGCCCAACGGCTGACGTTTGAGGGCTGACGTGTGTTTCCCCAGCTAAATCTACAGCGAGAATGAGGCTGATGCTAGGGAGCAGGCAGTGTCCAGTGGACGCCTGGCTGCTGCCTGCAGCTCGGATGGCACAGCCTTGGCCCCTTCCTGCTCCACCCTGGTGGCCTCCCTGGCCTCTGGCTCTCCTTGGTGCCGGCCCTGGCCCCAGTGCCACTGCCACCTTGCTGGGCTTCAGGCCCAGCCTCCCCAAGGCCAGGGGCCGGGTCCATCACCTGCAGTGGTACCTGTGTCCCTCCACGGGTGGCTGGGAGCACAGAGAAAGCCACACTCACCGGCCGCGGGACAGCCTGGGGCTGAGACAGCAGCTCCTCGTCCTCCACGCCAGGGACTGGCTCAGGCCTTTCTGACAGCAAGCAGCTGTCCAGGTCCACGTGCTCCGAGGCCATGGCACGGGTGAAATCTAGAAGTCTACAGAAAACAAGAAGACATCGTCTTCAACGTGGAGGTGGCACAGTTCTCACAGAGCAGTGCGCGCCTCTGGGCCGCAGTACCAGACCCATCCAGGCACCACGCCAACTGAGTGACACCAGCGGTACAGTCTATTTTTTTTTTTTTTTTCTGGTACTGGGGTCGATCTCGTATCCTTGCACTTGTGAAGCAGGCTCCAGAACCACTGAGCTAAATCCCCACCTGGTACAGTCTGTTCTTGCCAACTCTAGGAACGCCTGGAATCCCACACTGTGACCATGAAAGATCCAGGTTCCTGGTCCAGGTCAGAAACAGGTCAGCAGCCCAGCCAGGTGGGACCTCTGTATCCTGAGCACTGCTCCCTTTATTGGCCTGCAGGGTGGGGCCCCGCTTCTGCCCCAAGTCATGAGGAGGGGAGGGGTGAGCAGCCCACAGCATAGCGATCCTTTCTCATCCTGGGCTCTCTGGGGGAACACAGATTTCCAGCTCTTAATTATGTGTTAACCATGTGCCCAGGAATATTAATACTATGCCACTGCCAGTAGCGCAGTTATAAAGATAGTCTCCACGCAAAACACACAAGACAGGAAGAAAGCAGCCTCCTGAAATCTCTCTTCTCGTCAGTGGCAGTGAACCCACGGCACACAAGTTGCAGCAGCACGCAGAGCCCTCCAGCATGCGAGCCAAATCACCCCAGCAGATGAGCACAGGACACTCGGGCTTAACTGCTGGGCCTGCGCTTTGCTATAGTAAATGTGTTTGGGGTTGCACCTGGGGCACTCGGTCTCTAAAAGGTTCACCATCAGTGTCTTAAGTGCCTGTCAGAAATGTATCTTCACCGCAGCAGTTTATTGACGAACCCATGGGCTGCGCATTTAGCTCAGTGGTTCTGCCACCTGCCTTGCAAGTGCACGTCCCGAGTTTGATCCCCAGTACCCCCCCAAAAAAAGACAAACCTGTGAGGCTGGTGTTCAGTTTTAAGTACAGAGCACAGTGACCAGATCTGCCCATCGCTAATCTAGTAAAGTCCACTCGCGGACTTTCAGGACAGAGCAGTGAGGTTCCACTTTGGCAGTCACAGCCACCCAGGTTGTGGATTCTGGGGGAGACAGCAGCCAGGGCAAAGCCCGCCAGAGGCGGAAACTCACTCCATGTTGAAGATGAGGTTCTTGATGCAGCCGGAGAAGAAGCTGCTCTTGAGCACCGAGGTCTGGGCCTCCTCGGGGACGCCGCCCACGTACAGGGTGGACGTACCGATCGTCCTGCCTTCCGCCGCCGGACCCAGCCGCATCTCCACAGGCTTCGCCTCGTCCAGCTGCACAGTGACAGTTCTACGGCCACACAGAGTCTGAGTGCAGTGAAGCCACGCCCCCCCATGCAGGCTTCTAGCACGTTCCTTCTTAAGTGCGCATGCGTGCTTTCGGAGCACAGCGCAGTCCCTGCAGGGGGCGGGGCAGCCCCGTAACGCATCGAGTTGTCCAACCCGCCCCTTCCTTCCGCTTGAACAGTGATATCCTCGCTTCCAACTTATCTTTTATTTTGCCTCTTTGCTTATATTTTGGGTTTCCCATATAACAGGAGCCAAGCAGTATTTAAGCTCCTGTGTCTGCCAACATAAGGATAAACTCGAGTCATTTCCAGCAAGTTAATAATGAATTTCCTTGAAGTTTAACATAGCACGATGTGTTTTAAAAAAGGTACATCTTGAAAAATAAAACTTGTGATTAAACATTCTCCAGAAATGAATGAAATGCTGTGAGATGTCATGGAAACTACTGCTTTTAACGTCTAGGTACAATAAAGAAAAATCTGTGCTTTTAAAACGTGGTCTATGATCTTGGAGGGAAATACATAGGAATGTTGATAAATACAATTTATTTTCCACCAGTACTGTATATGACTGTCCACAAGCTAGTACTATCATTCTGCTTATTTTCCAGAGTTATCCCAATGAAAAGATGATTTATACTGGACCCCAGGTAAGGGCAGGGGTAAGGCTGCTCACTGTTGAAAGTTCTACAGCCATCTTACTTCAAAACAGAGGACACTGCTGACTCAAACGAAGTATTCTAGCAAGTTTCTAGAAGTGTTTATAGAGTCAAAAAAAGTTCTATGGCTAACAATGCCACGCTTGTGGTCATTGCAGGCACTGAGGGGCACCCCAAGCCCCCGCGGAGGGCCCACTTTTGCACTCGTGCCCTCTCCTCCTGCCCTGCGGGCCACCATACCTCTGAGTCCTCACCACGGAGACCGAATGCTCCTGCCCATCGCCATAGGAGCCCGAGGGAGCGTGCACCAGGGCCTTCCGCAGGCTGGTCCTGTCCCCGAGGCTGACGTGCACTTCGACGTGGCCATCGATCAGCATGATGGCGAAGAAGGGCTGCGGGCAGAGTCCCACACGAGTGCATCACAGAGCGGCTCCAGAGCCCTGGTCTCCCGCAGGTGGTGTGGGAAAGTTAGCACAAAGCGAGCCATTTCCTCAGACGCGCACCAGCTCTCACAGCTGCTTCAGGTCGTGCACGTCACTGTCTAATCTCTCTCCTGTCACTAATGTTGTGCACGTGCTACTTACTCTCCTTCACCATGTCGCAGATTCCCATCTTTACCAAGCCTCACATACACTATTTACGGTTTCATAATGGACCAACAAGCGGATGTGATTTGGGGATATTTTTTTCTAGTGATTTTAAAAGCAGCATTAAGGAGGTGATGGCTTTGAAAATGTCTCAAGGGCTTTAAAGTTTCTGCTGCATTGTGAAAAAACATAATAGTGCGTAGGCCACAAGCAGAGATGGACTGCTGACCTGGTCAATGCCATTCTTTTCTGCTGCCTTAGTAGGAAACTGTGCAAGCGATCCTGGGGGGCTCATGCCTGGGATCCTAGGTACTCAGGGCCTGAGGTAGGAGGCTTGTTAAGTCTGAGGGCAGCCTGGGAAACTTATTGAGACCCTGCCTCAAGCTACACACACACACACACACACACACACACACACAC